GGTTTAGGGCTTAGGGTGTAAGGCTTCCTGGGCTTAGATTCGAGAAGCAGGGTTTTGGCCGTGCAAAGAAACTTGACTGCATCCTGAGCACATCCTCAACCCAAGCTGCTGAAACAATCGGCAACGGGATCTCGCATGTCAGGGTTGGGGACAGGGACACTTGGCTGAGAATGCCGCCCCAAATACGATTACAAAATCTAGCCATACCATCTCCCCTTGGCCATTGACTTTACACCGGGTTCCTGGCCAAAGGCAACAGGCCCCCTTCATCGGCAGACCTGGGAACTTTTGGATACAGTCTCATGTTGCCGTGGAGAAGCCTCGGAAGCTCGCGGTTCCAGTTCATGGCTTTGTAAGGGCCCCGCCCCCCCCCCCCGCTTCGACCCAAAGGCCATTGATGCTCATCAAACCGCCTGCAAATACAGATCGACAAGCCCTGACAGGAAGTCCTGTTAGACTGTACATTCCCAACCCTACACATTACCGAGGGCCGAACCCCACCTGTGTCTGCTTTTGGAGCCATGTCCTGGCACGTTGCTGTGGCAACCTTTCGCCCTATAGCACCAACTGTAGCATCCGCAGCGCAGAGGAAATTCCAACAATTCCCGGGGGGTGGCAGCTACGGCCGCCTTCTTGCCCCTGCCATCGGTGCCCGAAAGGCTGACTTTCGCTAGACGTGCCATGACGCTTCACAACGAGCTCCAAGGTTTGCCCGTGGTATTGTTTGGATTTTGGGCGTTTCCTTTGGAATTCGAAGCTGTTAGCGTTGTGGACAAACCCTCCTTAGGACCAGGGCTCCCTAGGCGGATTTGTGCAGCGGTGCTGTTTGCATTCTCGCGCACCGCTCGCTCGGCCTCTTTAGTTTTACAGTTTGGTTCCCTTTTCACACGGAGGGTTTTTTGGGTTTGGATGGATTTTTGCTAGTATCCTCAGAATTGACTCCGACACTTCCAGGCGTACGAACCTTGCGGTACACACACACACACAGAAGGCGCGCGCTTGCACGAGGAGTGTGGAGTCTCGTGGTAACATGGTAGGGTTACGGGCTTAGGTTGAGGAATGTCCCCAAGTCCCTAATGCGTCTTTTGCTGAAACTGTCGGGGAGACTTGTTGCAAGACCACAGACGGAACTGACAAACGCAACGACCAGGCATATGCAATTCGCCTGTGCAGCCAATGGACTGTTTGAAAACCCGTACATCAGCACTCCGGAAGTCGCCAGGCAAGCACATCGTCAAACGCAGCAGGTGCCTCGCTGTGTGGCCCAGACGGATGAGGCGACCATGCGTGGCCTGCTGCCGAAACTGCTGCTGAACACAACGCTTGGGAGAACGGGGTTTGTAGGGTTTCGGGCGAAAGACATGATGGGAATGCTGCTGCTGCTGACGTTGCTGACAACCGTGATGACGATACCACAGACTACAAAGCTACTATATGGCGTTGGTGACCATGACAGCGACTATTGAGTGATTATTGCTGTGATGGCATTCGCCATGCACCTCCACTGGCATTTCTTTCAGAAACGGTCGCATCTTGCCAACGTGTCCCTTCCGTGAGCGCACATGGTAACCTTTAGGGCTTCGGGTTAAGCCAAAACGCCCGAGAGATTCTCGGACCTGTCGGATGCACAAAACGTCGAAAAATCTTCGGTCTCAGCTAGCAAAATCCTAGTCCAAGCGCGCGGCCAAAGCATGAACTTAGGGCCGCTTATGAAATGTCACATGTTGTGTTACACTAAGTTGCTACCTTATGTGGTCTGCTGTCTTTGTACCGTAAACTATTGCCAGTATTGCGTCCATAGTGGGATGTCAAGCCCTGTAAGGGGAGCACAGACACCAAGCAAGCTTTGCTGCAGAGTCCAATGATGAGACTTTGGTTGAATTCGATTCAGACAAAGCGAAATCTGCGCAATGTGATGACCGCCAGTTGTTTCTTTCGCTTTTGCTGTATTGCTGCTGTCGTCGCGGTTGGTTTCTGCTGCAATCGCAGTTCGTTGTTGTTCTTGTTGTTTTTACTGTTGGGGTTGCTGTTGCGGTTGGTGGTAGCAGTGGTAACGGTGGTGGTGGCGGTGGTGGTGGTGGTGCTCGTGGTGGCGGTGGTGCTGCTACTGCCGTTGGTGTTGGTGTTGGTGTTGTTGTTGTTGTTGTTGTGGTTGTTGTCGTCGTCGTCGTGGTTGTTGTTGTTGTTGCCGCTACGGTTCACAGAAGGCATCTTTCCCTGTGCTAACCAGGCTGCGGGCGCAACTCTAGAAGGTTTGCAACAGGCTCCTTTGCGAAGCGTAAAGGACGTCCTTTTGCGTGAGCATTTTGAAAATGCTTCGGAGCCACGTGCCTCCGTGCACTGCCGGGTTCAAATTCCTGGGCCTTCCTTGACAGCAAGTTGTGGACGAGCTGGAGGTAACCGGTAGGGCTTCCACCTTTCCGCACGGTGGAGGGACTTACACCTAGTTTTGCGAAACAAGCGGATGGCGAGTCGACTATGCCACAGTGGTTTTCTCCAGCCTATGCCTTTATGCCTGCAAGAGGACTTGCTGCACAAAGCGAGTCGAGGAGCAGCTCCAATCCCAAACTGACCGTCTTCTGAACTTAGTTAAGTGCCTTGAAGGAAGCTTTGGAGACGAGGCCTGGTTCCGAAGGTTCCTTGCTTCTCTTCGACGTTTCTGGACGAGACATCCAGGGACAGCCAAAAAACTCGGTTTACACAGTTTTGCTGGCATTCTGGTTTTGCGCCTCTACGAGGGCTTTCTCACAAACAGCCGGCGCTTTTCGAGCAATCTGCTTCGGCAATAACACCTTCGCACGCAAGCAGGGTGGACTGCCATTGGCTGCGACATAGACCGTGAGTGCCTCCGACACCGTCGAGAACCTTTTCCGAAGCACCGCTGTTGAGCTGCGTAGCACAGTTAAGAGACCTGTCTTCTTGAAGCAAGCGTCCAAGAGATGCCACAGCACTGTACAGTAATTATGCAGTGCTACTTCGAGTTGCTTGAGCCTCACCCTCAATTTTGACTCCACAGACAATTCATTTCCTTCTCTGAGGATGTCGGCAGGTCTGGCTTTCGGCACGTCTGAAGTTGACTGGCCCAATCGCCCGCTATGAGCAAAGCCGGCTCGCTCAGCGTCCAACAAAATCGTGATTGTTGTTGTTGTTGTGGTTGTCTTTGATTTTGTGACAGTTATGTGCGCTTGTGTTGGTTGAGGTCGTCATGTTTGTTGCTGTTGAGGGCGATGGTGCTGGTGATGCAGATGTTGCTGCTCATGTTTATGTGGTTGTCGCCGTGCTGTTTGTGTCATCGCCACTGCCATTCCTGCTGTTGTATGTTTTTTAAATTGCGGGTATGAACACGAAAATGAGCAGCAGTCTAGAGTAGCAGCTTTTCCATGCCAAGTGGCCTGGTGTGCCAGGCGACGATCGAAGATCGCTGCGTTTAGTTTCCTTCGTAAGGGCTCAGGACTCTGGTGGAATTGTCTTTAAGTTGCGCTCGCCCTTCACGTCCCTACTGCAAGAAACCATGGAAGCCTCTAGGCACCCAACAAAGACGCCCCAGCAGCCCTATCCTGAAAATTGAAGCGAAAGAATTAGAAACTGCCCTGCGCTCTGTCTGAGCTCTCAAGTTTTGGGAGTCAGGTCTTTTTTTGTATTTCAAGTCGTTTAAGTACGAATCGCGCATGGGCGTCGTTGCCGACTGCAGCTGTGAAGAGTCCGAGACACTTGGGCAGCAAGGCCAGGAGACCGATCCACTTGGGCTTTGAAGGGTGGTCTCCCTTGCCATGCCTCCGAGAGGTTTGGACTTTAAAGCTGAGGGGGATTCGGAGTCCATGGCTGATGGGAGCTGCAAGTTCGAAGGGTTTGAGAGGTTGGGTGTTGGGTCTACTACCAGTGGTTTTGGTTCTGGGTTTGGGGCTTGCTAAGGACTGTTGCCGAAATCAGATAGCCAGATCGAGAAACTTCGTAACATCCCTTTTTCTTTTCTGGAGCCTTCACACTTCGAACAAGGTTGGGGGGTATCCCACAGCATAGTTATAGAACGTCTACACTGAGAGATTGTCCGACTAGTTACTCAGCCGAACCAGTTCCCTGACATCTTAAAGCTGAGGCATCTTAGACTCTTGGCCCCCCTGAAAGCGTATGGACAAATTGATCGTCGCCGAGAGGCTTCTGGGGATGCTTGCCCCAATACAGCAACATCAGGCTGCCACCGTCTTGTGCAGCTTGCCGCCCGAAGGCCTCGCGACTACAAGCAAGCATGGCGGGGCTGAGGTTACAAATGATTTGTGTGCCCTGCGTTGCTTGACGAGGGCAGGGAAGCAGCGACATTCAAACAACATGCAGAACCTCATTCACTTCGGAACAGGTCCCACATTGTCAGAACCCAAACCTGTAACTGTAGGATGAAGTGCTCACGCTTGTGGGGTTCCAGGGCTTTGGGCTTGGCTGTAGGACCCCGGGTTAGTGTTCCCACCGACAGGAAACATAGGCAACACAAGCGAGGCCGAAGCTTTGGCAGGCAAACATCCCGCCTCAGACTCCGGCTTATGAGGGCCCCAAGTAGTGAGGGCGTGTGAGAACGGCGAATGACGTAAAGAACACATCATTGAAACGCTAACACAACCACGGGTGAAACCCGGGATGTACAAACACCATGGGCAAGATTTTCGAAGGCTCCGGAAGACCCAAACCAGAAAACAGTGCACGCTCTTTACCAAAGCAGGGATTTGCAAAGCTTTATACGGATCTGTTCGAATCTATTCCAGGCTGTTTTGCTTCACAGGGATATGTTGGCTTCTGACTCACGACAACAGCGCCTGGTTGATGAACTCGGCTTCCTGCCAGGCAGAAAGCTTTTCCAGTGAATGCCTTGACGATTTGTTGGGTCCGGTCTTTGCTTGCAGGATGGTTGGCCTCGAAGCAACTATGTACCTCTAGTGCTGTAGTTGATGCTATTCCTAAATGTTGTAGTGATGCACCCAGTACCTTTAAGATCGTTGCTATCTCTAGACTTGTCGTTGCCAGTCTGGAGGAGTCTGCAGACTAGCATAAGCATAAGTATTCCTGTGCAGCCGATGTACTGTATGTTGATTGCAACTTACTGGCTTGGAACCACTGGTATTCATCCAAATGGGTAGCTCTTTGTTGGACATCCGGTATCGACTGCCGGCATCATTCTTTGTCGTTCTCATTCTTGGTCAGCATCACTCTTTGTAAACTGAGGGAGCATTGACGAAGCGTTGTTGTTGTCGTTGCTGCCGCTACGAGCTAGCGAAAATGCGATTGGCTGCCAGGCAATGATGCGTGGGTTATGGCTGGGTGGGAACAATAATAGCAACAATAATAATAGCAATAATAATAAAAATAATAACAATAATGATAACAACAACAATAACAGTAATAATACCAATGAGCCCAAGTATGTTTATGGGCCTCCCCCGAGTTCCCAACTCGCAAAAGGCCTTCGGAGGAAAGGCTGCAATGGCTAGTGCTGTGCTTCCTCTTCCATCTTCGACGATTATGACGAGGACGACTACTGCTACGATGCAACTGCTACTACCACTAGTACCAGTCTCGTGCTTTTTTTCATGCATGAAGCTCCACTCGGGGTGCCCGCGGCCTGTGAACTGGAGATCTTCCAAATTGATGTTTTGGAGACGTCCTGCCGCATAGCCCACAAATGCGTTTCAGGGTTTATGGGTAGGTTTGATGTGCCTGGCGTTTGTCCGGGGTTGCCAGCAGGACAGCTGCTAGATACGAACAGCTTCCAAAAATCTGTCTGCTATGAATTTCCCATGCAACTCATGATTGGAGTACTCGCTGACAACGACTATTAAGGCTATCATGACATGAAAATGCACCATTAGGCCTATCGACTGCGTTTGATAAACATCCAAACTCTGATCCCCACAAGGTCCTACACCTAACACCCCCAGCTGTTGATGTAGGAGCCGCATTCATTTCAAAAAGGTTCTGAGATCTCTGGGTGTATGCTGGATTACAGTTGAACAACGACCATATGCGGACATTCTTGCAGTTTTCATTCACTCTGCGATCCCATACCTGAACATCCGGCACAATTCGTGACACCTCTGCGTGCTCGGCGCGGAGACGCGCATGGAAGCTGCCAAGGCCGTAGCCGGCGCTGTATCTGCCAAGGCTAAAGAGCTGGCTGTATACAGGCCTTCGGGAGGTTAGACTTTACCCAAGAACACCTCATGCCACGAAATCCCTCAAACCCGGTAAACCCCCCAACAAAATCCTCGAACGTTGACATTGAAGATCCTGGATTATTTGGGGTCGGTAGTTCCTTGTTTCCTGAAACACCTTTAAATACATACAATACAGACATCGTGGCAACTCTGCTGCCGGCCTCAGCACGTTGGCCAAGTTTTCCTCTTCCAGAGGTGTCGTATCCTAAGCGACGCAGCAGAGGGCAACGACACGGCGGAGGTCGCAACTGGGGGTTGATGAAAGCTCGATCTAGAAGCGTAGTTACGTAAATCGGGTGGTAGCCTGAAGCCATAGGGAATTCATTCGTTTACAACACATAATCAAACTGTCCGCACCCTGACGGGGATCTTGCGCAGGAAACCGCGGGTGCTTTCAACCCTTGGGATTAGGGGACCCTACAACATTTGAGCCGGGGCTATCAGATCTCTTCTGCGGGGTACACAAGATACGATTTTTCAAACGGATTCTGCAAGGGTCCACGGCATGGGAACTGAAAAGGCCATCCGCAAGAAGCTTTTGAGGAGTATTCGCTGCATGGGGCGAAGTGAATGGGATAACCAGAGATCAACCGGGGGCCGGCGTAGTGATTGTAGCCGCAAATGCAGCAACTGACCAGTAGCAGTAGAAGTAGTAGTAGTAGTAGTAGTAGTAGTAGTAGTAGGAGTAGGAGAGGGAGAGGAGTAGGAGTAGGAGTAGGAGTAGGAGTAGGAGTAGGAGTAGGAGTAGGAGTAGGAGTAGCAGTAGTGGTAGTAGCAGTAGCAGTAGCAGTAGTAATGGTGGTAGTAGTAGTAGTAGTAGTAATAGTCGT